CCAGTATTGCTAGTCACCTTTGAGGGACCCTGGTACAGGCGATCCTCCATTTACCGTCGCACACTGTGCGCACTTGGGTCCCAAATAGGGTATGACCTCGTTCTGCACACTTGACCGTCTTTCCTTCCAACCATGTCTTCCTCACCCACGTCACAGGTTTGGGGTGCGCCTAGAACACCTTGGGTCGCAGCCCAAACATTGCTAGCTCATTTACAGCATAGGCCCCTACTACCAGCGGGCCCTTGTTCAGGCCGACTTCTTTATGTGCCACACCCTACGTGTGAGCAATTTGCCCACGACGACGGACTTTGCGCACCAGCAGCTACCACCTTTGGCCTCACATCGTCTGTTCCCATCCTCTCACGATTCACCGATCTAGATTACTACCTCCTCAGACATTCACAGCTTTGGGGTACGCCTAAAAAACCCTGGGCCGCAGCCCAAAAATTGCTAGTGTTCTTTCACCAGGTAGGCCCCGCTACAAGAGGGCTGAAGTGTATCATGCCAGTTTCTTGTTTCTCCGATGCGATATCTGACAGGCTGGTTGCTCTTCACTCTCGGCAACAGGCAACAGGTTTGGGGTACGCCTACAAAAACCTGGACCGCAGCCTGAGCATTGCAAGTCACCTTTTCTCACGATGGCCAGTCGTGCACTTAGTTTATACAACACGGGCAGCATCCCAAGATTTGCGAGTAAAAAGGGATGGCTCAGTTTACAGCATAGGCCCCCACTACTACAGGGCCGTTGTGCACCAAGCCGACTTCTCGATGTGCCACACCCTACGCGTGAGCAATTTGCCCACGAGTAAGGACTTCTCGCACCAGCAGCTACTACCGTTGACCTCACATCGTCTGTTCCCATCCTCCCACTACTCACCGATCTATCTTACGACCTCCTCAGACATTCACAGCTTTGGCGTACGTCTAAAAAACCCTGGGCCGCAGCCCAAACATTGCTGGTGTTCGTTCGCCAGATGAGCCCCGTTACAGGAGGGCTGACGTGCATCTGCATCAGGCCGGTTTCTTGCCCGACTCTCACCCCCCGCTCCTCCATTGATGCGACGTACACCTTTCTTTTCTCCGACGCGTTGTCCGACACGCCTGTGGTTTTTTCACTCTCAGTAACAGGTTTGGGGACGCCTACACATCCCTGTGTCGCAGCCCTAGCATTGCAAGTCACTTTTACGCTGGCCAGTCGTGCACTTAGTTCATACGACACGGGCAGCATCCCAAGATTTGCTAGAAAGAGGGATGGCTCATTTCACAGCATAGGCCCCCACTACTACAGGGCCGTTGTGCACCAAACCGACGTCTCTATGTGCCACACCCTACGCGTGAGCAATCTGCCCACGAGTACGGAATTCGCGCACCAGCAGCTACTACCGTTGGCCTCGCATCGTCTGTTCCCCCCTATCATATACCAACCGTTACTCTCTTGACCTCCCCACCCACAACACAGGTTTGGGGCACGCCTAAAACACTCTGGGTCGCAGCCCAGGCACTGCTATGTTCACAAGATAAGCCCCGCTACAAGGAGGCGGAAGCACATCAGGCCGACATTATGCCCGCATCTCTCCCTCCTCCACTGATGCGACTACACCATTATTTCAGCCGCCGCGCTTACCGACACGCTGGTGGCGCCTCACTCTCCGTAACAGGTTTAGGGCACGCCTACAAAGCCTTGGGTTGTTGCCCGAGGGTTGCAAGTCATTTTTGCTATGGCCAATATTGCACCTAGTTTGTATAACACGGGTTGCACCCCAAAGGGACGGGTTGGGATTTGGATTAAGGGTTTGGGGGATGGAAAGGGCCAAGCACTACGGCTTGGGGCGGGCCAAAACCTTGGGTAGCAACCCTAGAACTGGTCACAGTGCCTTCTCTTTGCTTGAGCATGGCGATCGTTGCACTGGCCTTGAAAAGTTACAGAGACGGCACGGCCAACGTACCTACCGATATCAACTTGTTAATTCGCTTGTTGTTGGCAGGTCAGTGCCGCCATTCTGTAGTTGTCCAGCTTCGGCGAAACTCACCATTGATCTAAGGTTGGTTTCTTATTTGTTAGTGGCTTACCATCGGTTATTTCGTTATCCCATTGAGGCCAGTGTCGTCACATTTGGCGGGCGCTTACTCTGTCGAATCGTACTCACCAGCGCTCGTTCGCTTACATTTCCCGCGGCGCCCACAAGGTGTTCGTATGACCCGAGTCGGTTTCATGCTCCTTCAAGAGCGCCACAATCGTAGGAGTCAGGTTTGGCCAACGTAAAAAGAAGGATGAGGAGGAGGAGGAGGCGGGGGGTCAGGAGTACGAGCAGGAGGAGGAGGAGGAGAAGGAGGAGGAGGAGGAGGAGGAGGAGGGAGGAGGCGAAGAGACCCTTGTTCAGCCGCCGCACGAGTTGAGAACGTGGATGAGGCAGAAGGGGGAGGAGCAGCAGCAGCAGGAGGAGAAGGAGGAGGAGGAGGAGGAGGAGGGGGAGTTGGAGGAGGAGTAGGAGGAGGACGTAAATGAGGAAGATGAGGGGACAGGAAAGTAGGAACGGAGGAGGGAGGCGGAGTTGCAGCAGGACTTCCTGTGTAGATCGCCCTGGTGCGACCAGTGACGCCTGAAGTCTAGTGAGTCAGGAACTGTTACTTAGCGTGTCGCGCCGCTTGTGCTGGCCCACCACGCTTCGGCGCGACACCCTAACCACGTACTGGGTCCCCGAACGTCAACCACCCGAGTTGTCCACAGTTGCCCGTCCCACGATTCAGAGCGACACGTTTTCTTTTTGCAGGGCGAGGCACGTTGTCGGGGCCAACGCCGAAACACGCTAAGCAAGGTTCCCGACCGTGAGGACAACACGGTATCGTATTAATCTCGTCGTCTCTCATTTTCTCTCTCACCACATCAGTACATACTGCTTGAATGCGTCGTTGCGCGACCATCGGGCAGAGGATGCGGAGGAAGCGGAGGAGGAGCAGCAGCAGCACGGAAAATAGGGAGGATATTATGGGGAAAGGGGGAGAAGGAGATGGAGTAATACACGGGGGCGAGAGGAGCATGAGGGCGAAGTGGGGTGCGGGAGGAGGAGAATGATAAGGGCGAAGGAGATGGAGACAGTTCAAATTAAATTTCGCTCCTGGCAGTCAGTGTCAATTTCGACACGCACATCGCCATTGAGGGAGATTGACACAGGAGGGTTGCAGGAAATGGGAAGAGGATGGAAGAAGGAGGACATGGAAGAATGCGGAGGAAGAGGAGGAGATGGGATGAGGATGTGGAGAGAAAAGAGCATGAGGAAGAGGAGAAAGAGGAGGAGGAAGAGGAAGTAGAAGGACGAGCGGATTGCTGGAGTAGTGTGAGAGCCCCACGGGTGCGCTCGTGTCCCGCGCTCCAGCAGAGGTGGGGGGGAAACGGGGCAGAGTTGGGCAGCGGCCATGCTGCGCCTCTTGCTGCGCCCACGTCTCTCCCAGCTCCTGTTCCTGCCCCCCTCCCTCCGCTCCCGCCTCCACCTCCCCCCTCGCCCCTGAGTTTGAGGTTGCCCCCGCCATCCCGCCCGCGGGCGTGGGGACGAGGGGCGCGGAGGAGGTGTGCCTGGAGAGGCGCGGGGGCCGCCCGCCGTCGTCCCTGGGACGGGCCTGTCCACCGCCCCCCCCCCCTCTCCTCCCCCTCTTCCGAGTAAGCGCCACCTGTGTGGACTTCTCTCCGTAACGCCTCCCCCATCGCCCCTCCACCCCCTCCTTCGCCTCGTCCTCTCCGCCCCTGCCCCCCGGCACCGACAGGTGCCCCCCCTCCCTGCGCGTATCCTCCGAGCCGGCGGCCGCGAGCCGTCGCGGCCGTGCTGCGCGGAGGGTGGCCGCGGCCTTCGCCGCGCGCGGGGCCAAGGCCTTCGGCGATGACCTACAGGCCGGCCGGCCGCCCGTGTCGGAGCCTGCGGTCGGGAGCTTTTGGATAACGTGCCGATCCGCCCCGTTCTAGCCCGCCACGCGTCGGCGCGAAACGCTATCCACCTCGCTGGCCCCCGGCGTCAGCGTCCCGAGCCTTCCCCAGCCTCGCGCCCCGGCGGAGCGGAACGGCACGCCGCCCGCTCGCGGGGCGTCGCGCGTCGCCGGGGCCGCCGCCGCGACGCGCTGAGCAGAAGCCCCACCAGGATTGGACGTCAGGCCAGCCGCGCTTCGTGGTGTACGACGAGCGGGTCCTCTTCAGTCAGAGCCCCGAATCATCAGGGGTAACTCGGGTCAGGGATAACTCGGGTTCGTTTTTCGGGAATCCAAACCCGAGTTACCCCAGACCCGAGTTACCCCGGATAACTCGGGCGTCCAGAGCCCCGAATCATCAGGGGTAACTCGGGTCAGGGCTAACTCGGGTTCCTTTTTCGGGAATCCAAACCCGACTTACCCCGGACCCGAGTTACCCCGGATAACTCGGGCGCCCAGTTCAGCGACATGCTGCAGGTGGTCTCCGCTCAGCAGGTAACGCTCCTCGATGACGGCACGGACCTGGAGGCCCAGCAGGTGATGTCGGCGTTCCGTCAGGTTGCGGCGGCCTGTGTCGACGACGTTGGCAAGCAGGTGCGGACGCCTAGCTGCAAGTGCCTGACGAGCGTGGCTTTACGGGGCTCGTGGCAGGAGGTGGTCGACATCACCGATGGCTTGGCGCGGTAGACTTCAAAGTGGCACTCCTCGCCCGACACCTCAGCGTGCGACGACGACCCCCACGAGCCCTGGACGAAGCACGGCGAGCCGTATGTGGCCAACGTCTTCGCCTGCCCCGTGTCTAACGGGCTGTAGGATGCGCCCGCCCCATTGCCGTTCGAGCGCCACTTGATCCTTGCTCGGGACATCTGCGCGGGGGCATGGCGGCAGGTACGGCCTGCTCGCTTGCGCATCGACTAGACACTCGCGCAGGTGAAGGGCGTTGATATATCGAAGTGTAGAGCACCTATCGCCAAACACTCGGCAGAGCTGCTCTCCGGGTACTTGCGGATCAAGTACTACGGCACCAACCGCAACGCCAGCACGAGGCCGCTTGATGGAATGCCCGATCCGTGTTCGGGCATCCCCATAGCGGGAGGCATTCGCCCAATGCGTGTGCTCACGCCGACTCGTGACACATTCGCCAAGCGCAGCATGTCATTAGTAAGTGAGGGGATCACAACCCTCACAGCCAGGCAGTTTTAGACCTCCCACAAACCTGCCATGAAAAAAGGGCGGCCTTGCGCGTAGACCCACCAGAACCCTCCAAGACAGCTCGAGTCAGACCCACCAACAAATCAGCTCCTCCCCTTGTTATAAAGAAATCGGGGGTACATGTGCGAGCCCGCCTCCAACGACTCCCAGGACGATCTGCCAGGCGGCACTCCCTCGGCGGCAGCGTCGAGCTCGACCACTGCTGCGGGTCAGGGCGCTGCTCATGCCCCCGATGGAGTCAGCCCAGACCCTGCCCCCGATGTTGGCATGGTGGGGCCTCCAGACCAGCAGAGCGCATCCCATGACAGCGCGATCTGCTAGAACGTTGAGATCGAGCTTCCGACGACGAGTCAAGCTACGTCTTCCACGGCGCCACTTGGCGCACTCCTTATTGTAGTCATGTCCGTGTGCTTGTGTGCTACCACAGCCGATGTGCACCACCAGGTCTGCGAGGTCTTCAGCCAGCTCCCGATCCAAGCAGACCCAGGGGAGCCCCCGCGCGAGGTGGTGCCCGTGGCGCCGACCCAGGGGAGCCGGCCAATGAGCGGCGCAGATAGCGAGAGCATCCGCATGGCCCCCAGCGCGAAACAATGCCATGAGAGAGTCTTCTCTTGCGGCAGTTCGCGACTGCCCTGAGTCGGCCCGCGCACGCCCTAGCCTGCTTACGGCAGCTTGGGACATCACCACGCCCGAGTTGGACATCATCTTCTAGAAGGTGGGAGCCTGGGTTTCGCATAATGTCGGACCCCTTCGCTGGCGCGACGGCTGCACCAGAGTTGCCAAAACTAGCAACGGACGTTTGGCAGGCTGGGGGCGACGGGACATCCAGGAGATACCGATGTCCAGGCGGGCCCATGCGCATACCATTGCCACTGCTAGTCGTGGCATCTTAGTTTGACGAGGTTCCCCGGTATATTTGAGGGCGCTGACTTGCGCCAGCATCGATTTCTTGTCGACGGGCGTGCCCCGCTCGGGGCGGCACGCATGCCGTGCCAATGCGGCGATTGGCGGCCCAGCCGAACCCCTACTACTCGAGGCGACCCATGAAATCTATCCGCGTCAGGCTTTGCGAGCCTTCTTGGGACATCATGGTTCAGAGGGAGGCCTAGCCGCAGCAGCTCGTCACTGCTGCATTGGCCAGGCCCAGGACGTTGACAATAGCGAACGGGCAGCTCTTCATGCTAGCCTGGCAATGTTCATTACCATCTTTCTGCAGCGTGCGTTTCTAAGGCTTCCCTCTCGTGTACCCCCCAGCGTGCGCCGTGCGAAGTTTTCGTGGACAGTGCCCGCTTTGCTGCCACGATTGCGGGGGACGCCTTTGCATGGGCATTTGCACAGGCCCGCCTGAGCAGAGCCCGCGAGTGATGGCTTGCAGACTCGTTCCCGCTTGGGTCGGCGTCCTTCTTCTATCAGCGTCCGACTCCCCCCCTCCACCTCGCCTCCGCCATTTCCTCCACCTCCACTTCCACGTCAGGAAGTTGGCCAGATACACGTTCTTTCGACGATGATGTTTCTGTTCGCCCAAGACCCTACAACCGTGATTCTAAGCTACGCGCTGCACGCCTGCAGCGTGCCACTGCCTCCACACAGCTCCATCTCTGCCTCCTTCTCCACCCTCCACCTCCACCGCCCCCGTGAGAACCTATTCCTCGTCCTCCGTGTCCACCTCCCCTACCGCCTTGCCGTCGCCCCTTCGCCACACACAGTCGTCACCGCTCCTACCGCAGCATTCAGCACTGGTGGCCATCGACTCCAACCACGGCAAGTAAGGGCTGCGGCCCGCCTGTGTCAGCATTACAGGCCCCGTGTCTGGGGCGGACGCTGGCGCTTGAATTTCTGTTCAAAACGGGTCCCCCGGCCTCTCCCAGGGTCTCAGGGTCTATCCTCGCGGGTGCCTCCGGCCTCGTCCAGCCGTGGCGACGAAAATGTTGGGAGACGCCCCCACTAAAAAACGATCGGATGATGTCGAGGTCGTTAGTCGTCGTCGTCGTCGTTGTCGTCGCCGTCGTCTTTGTCGTCGTAGTACGTCGCCGTCCTCGTCCCCGTCGTCGCAGCAGCAGTACAGTAGTAGGCTTGGTGGTAGCAGCAAGAACGGCAGTGGTAGTAGTATTAGTATTCGCGCGCGAAGAAGTAGTAGTAGTAGTCGTAGTAGTAGTAGTAGTAGTAGTAGTAGTAGTAGTAGTAGTAGTAGTAGTAGTAGTAGTAGTAGTAGTAGTAGTAGTAGTAATAGTAATAGTAAGTAGTAGTAGTAGTAGCAGTAGTAGTAGTAGTAGTAGAGTAGTAGTAGTAGTAGTGGTAGTAGTAGTAGTAGTTGTAGTAGTAGTAGTAGCAGTA